AAAAAAAAAAAAAAAAAAAAAAAGAACGAAGAGAGAAAATCAACAAAGCAATAGTGTGTAGTGGTCACTAACTATTATTATTTCCTTGTCGAAACGTTGGTAAATTCCGTCGGTAAATAACTGAAATCTCATAAAAATGCATGGCGGCGGGGCGACGCGAGAAATATCTGCAAATGTGAATGGAATCGTGACGTGAGGAGGGGAGGAGGGGGGAGGGGGGGGGGGATAGCTAATGCAGGCAGTGTCACGCGTTTTAACTCTCTCATCGAATATTCAATATCGATGCCGTTGTGACGGCTCGAATGAAGAATTTATATTTTTTTCCCCGGCGTTACGATAAATCCGACGCGTATGAAAAATAAAGAGGATGATGGATGAAAATGGGGGGGGGAGGGGGGAAGGGGAGGGGGAGGAGAAAGGGACAGGCAAGCATTCAGGTAGAAGTATTTACATTGATCTATGATACTCTTTTAAATCAACCGTAACGTTTTTCACTTCATTTTTTTTTATAGCGTTAATTATAGTCACTTTCATAGCTTTCATTTTTTTTTTTTTTTTTTTTATGGTCGATATTTTCGAGATTAGAGAATATAATCACGTTACAATCGATTATATTATATTATATTACCCGTTACGTTCCCTCTTTAACGTTTTTTTTTTTCTTCTTCTTCTTCGAGTAATGATCTTCGAGCAATAATTGTATCTACATAATTGACATAATTCAATCCCAATAAAAATTTAAAACCTAATTATAACCCCAAAGTGTGTTTACAATTTGCAATATCCGTCTAATTGAATAATATTTTAAAACGATTTAATCCCTTACCTAATCCTTATGATCAAACTGGTGGTGGATTATGGTAATTGAAAGTGTTATGTTGTGCGTTAATTAAATACAACACGAATATAGAATACAATTTTAATTTCTCAGTCGATATTATCGCGAAAGAGGCGTGAACGCGAAAAAAAATCTTCTCGTTCATCGTAAAAACCCAATAAAACGAAATTTCTTCTCTTCTCGAAATTTATTCCTTTCGTTGGAAACCTCCCTTCTGTTGGTAAAAATCGCTCGTCAAACATATTACATTGAATACCGCACTGCGGTTATCGATATGCACCACGTGCACGCGTCACGCCAAGAAGAAGAAAGTTCTTCCTAGAAACCGACGAGTCTACGTTTAAAGAGCTTGCTTCTTCTTTAAATGCGCCCTAAGCTCTGAGCTCGGGTAATTAGTTTTTCTCGTAAACAACAAAAGGATCGGCCGTATTTTTATCCATCCAAACCGCGAAACAGCCGAGAAAAGTGGAAACGGAAAAGTGGAGCAGTGGGCAGGCGACACGAGGCGTCCACCAGCTTCGTGGCTGCAATTAAAATTTTAATCTCTGTCTCAGGGATAATAACTGGAGCGCTCGATTAAACATATCCACCACTCCCCCTTCCTTTCTCTACCCTAACGAGACGCAATCTGCTCGTTGCGTGCTTTGTATCGTCGTGCGTGATAAGTGGAAGGAAGAAAATATTGTTTCGTAGGAGGGATGCTCGTCGAGTTTGATTATCGATCACGAACGAAAGGGTAAAGAATTTAGAAGATTAGACGATGGAATATCGAGATTGTGGAAAATCGAGTGATAGAATTAAAAGATTTCTGCTCCAAGTTGAAACGAAAGAAAATGATAGAAAATTAAGAGTAATTTAGAATTAAAAGATTTCTGCTCCAAGTTGAAACAAAGAAAGAAAATGATAGAAAAGTAAGAGTAATTTGAATTATTATATAGGAGGAGTAAAAAATTTTGGAAAATTGGAAGATTGGGAATAAAATATTTATAAAAAAAATAAAAAGATTTCTAATTCTCTTAGGAGAAGAAATTTTCGTATTTTTAAATTAAAAAATTACCTTTTTTTCAAATCATAAATCATTAACAAATTTACTTTCCTTTTTCCAGTATTACTTCTTATCCTTACGATACAAATATATATATAGAATACAAGGATAATCGAGTAGATCCTAAAAGGCTTATCGTAGCTGGAAGCAAGGGCACGAAGCGTGCTCGAAAATTCGTTGCTTACGTTGCATGTGCGCCACGGGTTGATAATCATCGGCCTCGAATCGCCGTCATTATCATACATATAGCCGATTGAGTGGACGATCGAATTAATAATAGCAAAGGCCAATATTTGCCTCGGCACGCAGCCTTGGCAATCACCTGTACCAGAGTACCAATTTCGAACGATCATGTGGGCTTGTTCCTTCCTTTCGAGGGTTGGTTGCTTCGCCCCTTCTGTTGTTGTAGAGATTATGACAAGAGAAATGCAGGAAGATGGCCAATTGTGTCCATCCCGTTATTGTTGTTCCAACAATAATATGGTCGATATGCGTAGCATATCGTCGATGGCTGACCACAGTCCTATTTCTCGATTCTAATTTGATTCTTTTTTTTATTTCTGTTCCAGATATTCACACGTTTTGGCAAGGTCCTGAAAATCGTCACTTTCACGAAGAACAGTAAGTATCGTTTTTTATGGAATTTTAAAATTACGAAAAATTGTGTTTATTTAAAAAAATGTGAAACTCGAGATTCTCTTCTGGTGATATGTTGTGATTCATCATCGAAGCATCTCTCACATATATTTTTATAAAAATTACTTGATCTTGTAATTGATACTTATACGGAGAGAAAAATAAATAAATTCGTTTGATTAGGATATAACCTTTGATAAGCTGGTTTTTTTTGTCAAAAATCGCGCAGAACTATTTCCACGACGAGTTGCCATTGAAAAATTTCCACGTACACCTCGAAAGAAACAGAGTAGAACCGAGAAAGACTGACGGATTTCGAACATTTCAAAGTGGCTCTTGTTTTCCTCCTCCAGTGCAATAGCTACTGGGCCACCTTGTATAGACGCCACTCTTGCTGGCAGACATGCACGGCACTTTAGTACTTCAGTGTACACTTGAAGTGTATTCTGCCTCGACGACGTCGACACCGTTAGTACCTTCGGTGGCACTCGAGTATACCGGGTGTGTCAGAAATATGTACTTATTCCCTTAATTCCTTCGTACATTTACAATCCTCGACAAAGGATTGAAATTGATTGTTCTCGTTGATCCTCGAAAAGCCTCGATGCTTCTTGATATGAGATCTAGAATGCAGCCAGATACTCGATCTTTGTTCTTCGATCAGACAGTTTGACGTGTTAAATTTTTCGTTTCTTAATGTGGGTAAATATTTTTTAGTCTCCAATCTTTTTTCTTGTTTCTTTTTTCTTTCTTTGCATTTGACGAGGAATAAATTTCGAAATCGATACGCAAATTCTTTTTTTTTTTAGACACCAGTTAGATAAAAGTCTGCTTCATTCCGGATAAAAATACCAGTTAGAAATTCAGACCGATTCAGACTGGATAAAATTCTCGAATATTTTATTTTGTGTCGTGGCAACTTTTTCTTTTTACTTTCGAGATGTTCGAGCGAGTCGTTGCAATAACAAAATGGACGTCGTTATATACTTTTGAAACGTCTACATGACATCGATCAATTATTTATTTTCGTCTTTTCCATCTCTACTAGAATCCGATAAAATTTCCTTTCTTCTTCAATTACTTTTATAGAAAGAATTTAAAATTCTTTCCTTAAATCTTTCACAATATATCTTAGAGATCTATTGCAAAATATTTCCTCTTAAACTTTTATTATTGTGCTCTCTCGTTCGTTAATTCCAGTCCAACAAATGCCGAGTAAAATCTCGATATCGAAATAACAATTTAAATCAGTCTTGCTCCTCAATCTCACTCTAATCTATATACAATCCCGAAGAAACAAAAGGAGGAAACAAATTACCCGATTACCAATTATGTTCGATGAGAAGCAAGAAAATATCCCTGGCTGTTAAAAAACAATATCGATACCTTGGTTCTTGGCGACAATTGGATATCCAAAAGACGTTCAATCAATGGACGCTCGATCGAACAAAAGAGGCTGTTGTCCTTGATTGAAAGGGACGAGAAATTTTCAAAGAGGACGGCTTTGAGACAAATAGCGGTTGATTGGCGAAATCACGGAGGCCTAAATTAAAGCGAAGAAGCATTCAGTGTCCAATTAAAGTTTCATTCGGTCAAGTGGCTATTCGTTCGTTCAATTTCCAATTCCTCTTTTTTTTTGACTTTTTTTTTTTTTTTAGTTTTTGTTTCTTTGATTAGATTCTTTATTTCTTCTTTGTCTTCTTTTTTTATGGTTTCTTTCTTTACGTTCGTTACTTTCGTACAGTTTGATAGTATTTATTTATTATTTATATAAGTTTCGAAGAAGAATATATAAATATATTATCGATTATGTTTGAATAAATATTTTGTATGTCAATGTACGTGTTAAAGGATAATTTATAATTTTCAAAATCGTAGAATTGAAAACATTTTTCTTTTCTTTTTTGAATATTTGCATCTCTATTTTTTCATAATTAAAAATTCAAATTTAGAAATTAAATACGTGAAAACAAGAACTTTAGAGTTGTACAAATATTAAAAGTTCTGAAACTGTAGAAAGTGAAAGAGGAAATTTCGAAATTGGAAGTTTAAAAATTGAAAATTCATCGCTCGCGAAATATCGTAATGAAAATATTTCCTTAATCAAAACTTCGCCCACCGAATGAACATTTGTCAATTGAAAATTTACGAGGGGGAACTTATCCAATTGTAACTTCGTAAATTGGGTATTTGAAAATTTCATTTTCCCGCGAAAATCGGTACAAATGAAAAATTCAAATTAAAAATTCCAAATTTCTGATCACATTTTTACATTCGAACCTTTTAAAAACCTTTAAAAAACAAAGAAAGAAGAGGATGAGAAAGATAAAGATGGTATTTTATAAGTAAGATAACTTGGCATTTCTCTCAACAGTTTAGAATTTCTTTGCAACGAATTAGAAGCATATGCACAGTTATGATCAAAGACGATTCCTATTTTTCCATTTTATTTGAAATGAATGATTCTTAAATGAATGAACGATTCGAAAATTGAATAATCATGTCCAAGATCTTCCGATTTTTTTTAATTCCTTATTTCTGTAAACTAAACATTATATAACTATATATCTGTTAAAGGAAATTAAAACTTTAAATACGTTAGATCGTATCGAGAATTTATTATTGAGAATTTTTATCGAAAATTATAGGATAGGATTAGAATAGCGTGTGTCATTCGAATGAACTATCTAGCGGAATCCACAGAGCACATCTATTTGAATCGACTATAGAATGCGTATATGCACGCGTTTAAATGTAAAATGTACATTTTCGTTGTCGAATTTATAAAAGAGTAATATAAAACAATACAATTTATCAAAATTATGTAAATGTAACATAGAAAGATTGTATTGATTGTACGAACCTAATATAAAACATCTTAGAAGTTATGTGAATCTAATATAGGATGATGCATCGTTGAAATTATATACATCTAGTATGGAACGTGTATTGTGTGTCGATATTCTTATGTAATCACAAAACTGAATTTTATTTAGAATCAATCAATATCATTTTCGTTTATTTATCAGTATTACAAAATAACAGGGAAAAAAGAATATATATATATATATAAAAGAAAATGACAGAAAACTAACTGTCGGTGTTGATCGGATCTTTCGCTAAAAAAAAAAAAAAAAAAAAAAAGAAAGAAAAAAAGAAAAAAAAATGAAAAAAGCAGAAAAATGCATGAAAAAACGTTTTATTAGCTATATAATGCAACAACGAGATCGAATTTTTTGCCGGTAGCAACGTTATTCAATTTCCATCGTTATTTGATCGTGGACCGGGGGGTGGGATCGGGGGGATAATAAAAATTCTGTTCCATAGAGGGAAAAATGTGACCGTTGTCACAACATATTACCGTGAATCCAGAGCGATCCCCCTTTATTTCCATTTAATTTCGGCTTTTATTTAATTTTCACCGATGCAAACCACCGTGAGAATGGCATTTGCTCTCGAATATCGAACGATAATCCCTGGTTTCGTATATTCTTTTCATTATTTTCATTTGTATAGGATATTGTCGGGATTCGTTTTCATAGGTAGATGGGTTTTGTTTTTCCATAAACAGATTCTTCTTAAGAACTTTTTTCTTTTTTAACGAAACTTTTTTAATTTAATCTCACTCCATCAAAGAGGTTAAGAGAAATTAAATTTTTTTTGTTTTAAGTAACTAGTGTTTGGAATTGATTCGAACGATTTGGAAGATGAGCTTGGAATTAAAATTCTTTTACAAGATCTTTTGCGCGAAATGAAATTTTCTTATTTTTGTAAAATAATAAAATTATAGTAACAATTTTTTTTTCTTACTCTTTTTATTGTTACTCGCCCAAAAATTCGCCCAGCAATCCAATCTAACATTCTTTTCCCCTTTGTTTCAGATACTTTCCAGGCACTAATACAATACGCCGACATGCTGTCAGCGCAAACCGCCAAACTCGTGAGTATCCATTTTAACTTTTTCACCATAAACGTATACAAAAATTCTACCTATCTACCTCGAATTCCCCTTTTTTTCCCCCTTCCCCTTTTTCTTCTTCGCTTCTTTCTGGAGAAACTCGGTGTTTCTCGTGCGGCCATTGTTTATCCCCATTCTCCCATGGGACAGATCGAAATTTTTCGTGGAAATACCGGAGAAAGTGTCGTCCATTAGAAAGTCCAGGTGCCGCGAATAATGTAAATTTTAATCTCTACCCTTTTTTTTTCCTCTCAAAAAAAAAAAAAAAAAGAAAGAAACGAAACAATTTTTTTTTCTTTTCTCTCTCGTTATATTTTTATTTTTTTCAATTCTCAACAACGAATTGGCTTTTTATTTGGTTCCGAGTTAGAATTACGGGTATCATTCGTTTCGTATGGATCTTTGTATCTCTATCTCTCTCTTTCTTTTTTTTTTTTTTTTTCTCTTGTGAGATCAAGTAACCACAAATCTTCACAAGAAAGTACGCAAAGTCGGACCGGTTTCAAAAACCACTTGCACTCGAAGAATCCGTCCGTGCCACAGGAACCACCGCCGCCACTACCCCTCTCCCCCTCCCTTCTTACCAAACCTCTATCCTCGCCACGATCTCTCTGGTCCGAAATTCTGTCGCGAGATTGTGCTCGTTAACGAACGTTAATTCGGCCACTCGAATAGAAATCCGCGGAAGCTCGGCCAACAGTCCACAGTTTCCTGTAATAAACATCCCCTTTCAAAATTAACTGCAACAGCTTACTCGATGCGGTTACTCTCGACTTATATATATATATATATAGAGAGAGAGAGAGAGAGAAACAGAGAAGGAAAGAGAGAGAGAGAGAGTGATCCAGGTCCAAAGCTCCGAATTTCTCGATCTTCCACCCCTTTTCTTTTTTTTTTTTTTTTATCTTCGCTCGAATTCGGGTCAGACTTTTTTGAATTTCGGATAATTAATTCGTTCTGATTTTTTTCTGCTTTCGGGGAAAGTTTCCATCGAGAAGGAGGTTTAAATGTATGGTAAAAATAAGCAAATGCGCTTAATTTTTCGTTCATAAATGCAGTCAATCTTTCTGTATAAATACGATTATTTCGTCGCCCCTGTTTTGAGCGAAATTTCGAACAAATCAATAGGATATCAGTGTGAACAAAAATAATGCGATGGAAACGGATATTCGTGTTACACGATAGTTATTCGCGTTTATTAAGCCGTGCCATGAAATTGTCGCAATTTTTGCACCGCATTCTATCGAAATCAAATGTTTTCAGTGTTATAAAATTAAAATTATATATTGGTATTATATATTAGTATTACAGTATTAGTATTGTATTATAGATTACATATTAGTTTCATGGAGATGGTCCAATTAAATTTATCAATATTATACGATCCCTTCTATAACAATTTTTGCTAATAAAGTTTTTTTTCATCCAACAACGGGAGATATTCCAAGTGTTAAATTTGATTTACAAGTCGCTCTGTATATTTGTGCGTTTAAAATCAGCTTGTTACGAACTCTTTACAAATTTTATTGTCAAAGGATTGAAAAAAAAAAAAGTTATATAATAATATTAACGTATCGATCGGGAAAATTCTTGGTCTTATTGTAAAAGAGGAAAGTTTATCGAGACATTTTTTTTTTTTTTCCTCCATTCCATACATTGGTTTTGAAAGAATCTTGATTCTCAGAGATACTTTAAGTGATTCGCAGTCGAAACTCAACGACTTTTACTATTTTCCAACCTCTTATCCTCTGTTTTCCCCTCTGTTTTTTATCACTCTGTTTTTTCATGATAATCCTCTTAGATATAAGTCCCGATTCTATCAACGAGCTCGAACCGATCGAAGTTTATAGAATTCTAAAGTCAATCGAAGAAAAATGTTATTCTGTATAATTTTCCATTTTCTGTGGGTAGCTGGCCAGCTTTACTCTCTCCCATATAAATGGAACTTTATTATATCGACGTTTCAATCTCTTGCTCTTTTAATCTATATCCAATCCAATTTATATCATCGATAAAAATCTGTGTCTTCGTAAAGAATTTCGAAAAAAATAAAGATCACAATTTTTATGGTGTTCCGATTATTATTATTCCTCAAGTCTCGATCTTTTAAGGGCATCGACAAATTGCGCGACGCCATGTTGAATTTTTTTATAGATCGATCGAAGCGCCACCGCGCGCGCCAAATTCAAATTAACGAAACAAATTCAAACGAAAATCTCTTTTTTTCCTTTATTTGTTTCTTCTTTCCTAAAATCTACTCTTCCTAAAATACGAGCAAAGCCAGCCAACTCATTATAAAGTCACTCAATTCCTTTCTAAACTCGCTTGTTCAAACAATTCGTGTTTGTCGAAACCGAGGAAGGCAAGGGGGGGAAGGAGGAAATAAATAAATAGAAAAGAAAGAAAAAAAACTATCCAATTACTCTATTACCCTTCCAACATGATTCAACGAAATACAACGTTGTGCCACATTGACAAACAATCTCCCGTGCACACGAGCTAAACACACACGAGCCCCTGCAATCTTCCACGTCTCCACTCTCATAACTCGGAAACATCAGCGTGCACTTAATCCAGCCACGGATATTATAATCCCGGTTGTTTGAACTCGCTCGCGGACCGTAAATATTAATTGAACGCAGCGAAATATGTTTCGCGGCAGGCAATTACATCACCGTCCGGGAGAAATGCAAATAATCGCGTTTGAAATTTCTACGGATATAAAATTGCAGAAAAAGGGGGACACGCGAACCCTTCGCCCCGACTCGCGAATATTCTTCGTTCTTTATTCATGGAGTTTGTACTGATGGAATGTTCATAAATTGGTAAAAAAAAATGTGAATCCAAAATTCATTTTGTTTTTTTATTTTATTTTATATAACACGACTAAATATATTGGGTAATAGGCAACGATTAATCTTTTAAATTCGATAGAATATTATATGTTTTCTTGTTTCTTCGTGAATATTGCGTTGTAAAAATTTGTAAAAATTTTATTTTTGAGAAATTGTTAAGGAATTATTAAGGAATCGTTACTATACGTTTTGTTATATTTTTTATTAAAAGTTTTTTAAGTGCAATATGTTCTATATTCTACGTTACGTTATTTATTCTTTTTGAGGAGGAAATAGTTTAAACTCGTTTGTATTATTATATTGTTTCTTTATGTTTTGATATTTTGATGTACACACGCACCAAGTATAAATATTTTTTTCCAATCATGGAATATACATGTGGACAGTGAGTGGCTCGAGCAGTTAGATAAAAGTCGGAGCGAAATATTTTTCACTGTTTAACGAGCTTGATCGTTCTGTGACGCCATTTTTTTTTCGCATACGCCTCGATACACTCTTTTTTTTTTTTTGAATACAAACGCGCAATTTTTTTCGCATAGATTGATTTCATGAGCAAGTCAATAAAAGGTATAAGCTGCCGGAGACTACTCATCCACGAGATATTTTTTTTTTTTCAAAAATATTCTCTCGCTCCTTAATATTAACATTCCGAATTTATCCTTTATTTTTAAAAATATTGTCTAGAATTCAACTTTTCTTCCACTCGCAAAAATTCATCCTTCCTAAAAATTAAAATAATATTAAAATTAAAAATTATACAAATTCCAATTCCCCCAAAATTTTTTTTTACCTTCGTTGTTTCCTTTCTCTCCGTCCGATCTGAAAAAGAAAAAAAAAAAATCTTCGAACGAATGAACATTCTCTAAATAATGCCATACGTTAAAATTTGGTTAATCCCTGTGAAAGAATTAGCCGATTCTCATAAAATCGTGGCGTGGAGTTAATTAATTGGGTGCACGGAACGGGAGAGGGGAGAGGGGAGGGGGTAAATTTTAAACTGATTAGCCGGTTGTAAGGGAAATCGGGCTGAAAAAATTCAATTGAAAAATATTCTGAAACTCTTGAACACGGAACGCGGAACGCGCATAATCCGAAACGCAATATTCCTCTCCGTCTCTTTTTGCCCTCTTCTCTTTTTTCTTTTTTCTTTTTTTTTTCTTTCTTTTTTTTTTTTTTCTTTTTTTTTACCTCCTCTCACCCTCTCATCCCAGCCCCTTTCTCTTTTTCGCCCTGTGCACGCCCATCACGGTACGTAGCGAAATGGCAAGCTACAGCTTTCTATGACGTACAAAGAATACGTAATCTGGGTTAACAAAGTTGGCCGGATATCTGGAATGAAATTATTTTAATATCGTGCCCGCCGCTCGAACGAGCGTCAAGCTTTGAAAATAGTTTGAAACTGGAAGGAGGGAGAAACTTTGCGAAAAAGGGGGGCTATGTTTCTTTTTTTTTAATGATTCTTTTTCCCTCCAGGGAAGGGAGGGGATGAAACGAAGGTACGGAATTGAAGATGGAATCGTGGAAAAAGAGGGTAATCGCGACACGTGAAACGTTTGTACAATAATGGGGTACAATGATTGAAGTTGTGACGCACCAGTGGTAGAAAAGCTGTATGTAATTTGAATGTTCAAAATCGTAAAGATTATTTTCATTTTCATGAAAAAGAATAATCACGTGAGACTGGAAGCTGAAATTATTAATTATTTCGACTACCTTAAATACTCGAATATTGAAAATTATATTTATAAATTAAACTATCGTTACAAATCGTAATTACGAGAAATGAAAAAATTTTTTATATCCAAATTAACCAATTTCTTCCGCGAGACTTTTTTCCATCAGTGAATAGTGAATAGTAAAAACTTCAACAGTTTATATGAATCTGAAAGGGGAACAAACAATCCATCGATTGTTTCTTATTTTTAATTATTCGAATGAACTGAATTCCAGATTCAGACAAATGGACTCAATCGTTTAGCTCATTCTACGAATTATATGCAGTAATTTGCAATATTAAATCATATTCACATGTAATTGGATTGATTGTTCAACAATAGAAATTTAGATACTCCAAGTTCCAATAATTTAAGAAACAATCGATTGACGATTGATATGAAACAATGTGAAATAATATTACATAATGAAACAATGGTGAATGCGTAGAGAATTCTCTAAGACGGCTAGTGTTTCAATTTCAATTTGGATTATCTCTTTCTAACTCCGAGGAGAGTTAACAATTAAATGGAATTCGTTTGACCTCGCATTAAATACCGCCCGGCCCATGACTTAACGAAGGCCAACATCGTCACCTAATCGTTCCAAATATCCTTGCACGAGTCGGCCAAAGGATGGCCAAAGGGCTAGATCCACGCCACGGGGCCGGCTGCGCGCTGGCAAGCTGGTAATTATGTATGAAATTCATTAGCCCGTGTAAATATGGCCGGCGGAGAGATACAGCGGAGCGTGTACACGCGTGCATGTTGCAACAATGCACACGCAGGTCAAACATCGTGGCCCCGGCCGACGGGTTTACTCTCTGGCTACGCCTATGCCAGGTAGAGTCGAACGTGCATACATAATTAGGCTGCATCTTTCCGCTACTGCGTCTATGCATTAGTCGAGTGCTACAGTTGTTATTAATAGGGTTGAAACGCGTCGAAATGGCCAGCTTTCAAATCGTTATTGTTATCCTCTCCCACCTCCTCTCTCTCTCTCTCTCTCTCTCTCTCTCTCTCTCTCTCTCTCTCTCTCTCTCTCACTTCTTCTCGATATTCGAATAATCGTGGACTCGTGATTTTGATTAATTTTCTCGGTCCAGAATATCGAAAGTTATTAGCTTGGAAATTTGGGAATATAATATTAATATAAATTATTAAATTTTTTGTAAATTTAATCGTCCAAAGTAGTAAATAGTAAAATCATCGATGGTTAATATTAAGTAGCGTAGCAGATTTTGATGTAGGGATGACCAGATTTGGACGTGGAGGTGTACTGCTTCCCCCGTAGAAGTGGTACTATTCGGTTTGGCGATTCGTTTGCGGTGGAAAGTGAAGGATAAACGCGAAGGGGGCGATGTGGTTTCGGTCGAATCATTTTGGTGGGAGATCGGTTTCTATTTGGGGGGAGGAGGAGGGTGTGGGCTGGTTGGATTTTGTGTTTTGTGGTAATTCGAATAGGGATGGAGGGATCTAATTAGTGTAATTGGTGGATACTGGTGGAGACCAGCGATACAGGGAGTTAGTTATACAATTACACGTGGTACGGGCAGCGATTATGCTGATAAATGTGCCCTTGAAAATTTATCAAGCCATTGATTTTATTCGAATAGTAAGATTATAAAATCATTAAAAATGGGTAATCATCAAGTTGGGGGTGAAGTAAGTTTGTTGATCGTGTTAATAATATTCCGATCCTCATGTTTGTTTCATTTGCTTTGTTTCAGTCGCTGGAAGGTCAAAACATATATAATTCCTGTTGCACGTTGCGCATCGACTACAGCAAGATGCAGAACTTGAACGTGAAGTACAACAACGACAAGTCGAGGGATTATACCAACCCGTCTTTGCCAACTGGAGACGCGAATTTGGACGCGGCATCTCTTGCCTTGGGCGGCGAACTTCTTCCACAGTTGTTGATGGGCGCTGGATCGCAGCCTCGCGCAAGAATACCCGGTGAGAACCGTGGATTTCCACGATTTTTTTTTTTTTTTTTTTATTAATACGATTGAAAAAGAAATTAATATATATATTTTTGAAAATTAATTATTAGTTTTTTTAATTATTGTAGAAGAAAAGAAAGAAACGGAATTTTGAAATTATTTGAAATTAAATTATTCGAAATTAAATTGTTGAACGTTATTGTTATTATTTTGAAGAGTGTAATTTCGATTCTTAAATGTTATAAATGTTTTTGTAATTTTCGTGAATATGGAATTGTCTTTCTGAATTTAAATTATATTTATAGTTTATTTATTCAAGAGGTAAAACTAGTAGTTATATGAATTATTAATAAAATAGTTTACAATTTGCAACTATAATAATTATTTCATCTCTTGAAACAGGATGTTGGAAACTATTCTAAATTCTTAATGAATTTTATGTATTTTGAATAATAAAAAATCTAAAGGGATGAGAATATCAAAAATTCAATACAGTTTTACTCTCAAATTCAAGAGTATGAAAATATAATTGAATAATGTTATTATTTATTTATTTTAAAAATCTCTATTTATTATTATAATTAAAAAAAAGAAATTATAAGATAGTTGAATATAATTAACACAAATAAATAATAAATTTCAAATACAAAAATTTTATTCTACATTTTGTTGCTTCTGTTTCTGCGAAATAATAGAATAAATTCGTTTCGTTAATTGTTTCACACTTTGCAATCCAATGAATGTTTCCATGCAATTTTTCGTAAAATCATTGTCGCGATATCGATTGTCAATGATGAACCCATAAAAATCAGATCGATCAATTAGTGCCGTGTTACTAGAACAGTTCAGTCCATTAGAATTAATTATATTAATAGAATAGACGGTCTCCCTGTCACTCGATAGGCTGATAGGTTTATGATAAATTGTCGTATCGTGAGTCAGTTGCTGTATCGGCTTCGTTTCCAATTTACCCCTCGTTTTCAGCTTCATTTTCGCGCGATATCGAATTGCACGCGGTTAGACTATATATTTTCCCTGGCAAATTAATTAATTACGTTTCAACGCCAGAGGCGATCGATCCAGGCCGACGTTTCGATTTTATCCATCTTCGATCTCCGCTTTTCGTTTCTATATTTTATGTATCCTTTTCTTCCTCGCTTTTTTATTAATAATTTCATGGAAGGGGAAAAATTTTTTTAAAAATTTGTGAACTAATAGTCTTACCTCTTGAGTTATTATATATTATATAATGTATAATGATATAAATAATCCTTCCTCATTTTTTATGGAATGGAGTAAAATTATTTTAATCGAAGAATTTTCTATACTGAATCTTAACTAAAGATATAACAAAATATATCAGAATTAAGAAAAGAATCGATTTAGAAAATAAATTTCACGTAGCATTTTGATAATATAAATTACAATAATCTTAAGATATCAATGTCTACATCATTAAAAAAAAAAGAGAAAAAAAAAACAAAAAATCTTACAAAGTTTATTTCTTTTTAACTTTTTGATGTATAGTCCCATTCAATATCTTAGAAATCCCTCCAATTCCCCATAATTTTAGAATTTTCCCATTTCCATTTAAAGAAAAAAAAGAATTCTATAGTATTATGCTTTTTTTTAAAAACATTTTTCGCGATTATTCAAAAATCTTATCTTATTCATCTCTTTTCAACTTCTTGCGATTATAATTCACTTAATTCCGTGTATAGAGATCCCTAGAATTCCCTCATTACGCAAGTTTTATTTCCCCCACTATCAAAATCTTTTAACAGAATTTACTTTTTTTTTCAAATTTTTTCTGCTAACTACAGTTCCAATTCTCCGCAATCGTTCTCTCACCATCCCCCACCATCGAAATCCTAGAGTTCCCCGCATTATCCAAAATCCCCCAGAAACCAAAATTCTATTAAAATTTACTTCTCTTCAACTTTTCTTGCGACTAATAATGCCGCGTTCGATTCCGCCTCGTTCGAAATCCCTGGAATATCCCTCCACCATTCAAGTCCTAGAGTTCTCCCCTCTCCCTCAACCTCCATAATTCCCCCACCACCCAAGTCTAATTAGAGAAACAATGCTAACTATAGCTTGTAAATTTTCTGAAGTAGAGTCCATTGCAGGGGCACCGGGTGTGCTGCCCACGCCCTTTGCGGCCATGCACGGTCTACCCTCGCCCTTAGCAGGCCCGTACAACGGGGTTCCACCTGCCGGCGGATTGGCTGGCCTCGGTGGGTTCCCTTTGGGTGCAGCTGGCCTTGGGGTGCGCGTCCCCACTAATGCGCAAACCTCCGCTGTCCTGCTCGTCAGTAATCTCAACGAAGAGGTGAGTGATTTTGAATGGCGTTTAATGAAATTGTTATGCGATGTGGTCGAGGACATGGAGATCCAAAATGGAGGCACAAAGAAAAATTTTAAATCTCGATTTTTTTCCTTTTTTTTTTTTTTCTTTTGCGATCGCTGTTATTCTGGATTATTTGTTTATTTGTTATCATTCGAATTGAACGAATTAAAAGGGAATAATAATAATAAAAAAAAATTGGTTTAAATTGTTTTAAATAAAATCGTATATGTTTTTTTTCAATTTTTATATAACGTAAAGGAAAATTATCAGTGACGTTAAGAATATTAATACGTAACTTAAAAAGAAATGTTTTACGTATCTCTTTATTTATTTTATCCGGAAATAAAATTATCATATCAAATTTTCCTTCGTGCCTTGCCAAAGAAATAAACCGCTAAAGTGTACAGAACGTTACCAAGCGTAACGTTTTAAGTAAAAATCAGCATTAATGAGATATGCAAATTATGATCAACGTGCTGTACGCTTTCGATTAGGATAATTTTAAATTAACGCTGAGAGAAATAAAGCTGTAAAGATTTTAATATTATTAAAAATATTTTTTTTATCTTACAATTATTTTTAATATTCTGAATGAAGCATGAAGCGATATTATATATATATATTTTTCCACTTTCATCAAATCAGAAGAAACGATTTTTTAAATATTACATCGAACTGTACATTCTCGTTATAATTTTTATTTCTCTCAACGTCTACCTATGTACACGAAACTGGCTTAGGTACGTACGTATCCACTAAAAATTCATCTAAATACAACGATATGATATTATAATGTAGTGCTACGTAGGCAACCCTAGCAGTTTCTCCATCCCTCGATCCGAATTTTCCTTGTCGAACGTTTTTCTCAATCTATCTCCAAATATAATGAAAATACTTATCGATTAATTTTCTTATCTTTTTTTTTTCATTCCTTTTTTTTTTTTTTTTTCTCCCCTTTATTTTGAATGAAGCGTTGTTTCGTTCGACAAGCAAAAAAATCGAGATCTCGATGCGTATGTGCCCTCTTTACGTGACTATCCCTTCTTCTCTTACCCTCTGCCCCTATTTATACCCCTTCATTTTTCAAAAAACACACATATAGAAATCGTTCCGAACGATCATCATCCTCTATTCCTAAGTAATTCGTGGCGTTTGTTTAATCGCGACGTTTACTTCCGGCGAGGCGTTTTTCGTTTCTGAATCTTTTTTTAAAAATTTAAAAAATTATCGAAAAGAATAGAAAAACAGGAAAAAATGTACATGTAATTATAAAAATAATTTCTAAAAAAAAAAAAAAAAATCATGATAATTTGGATCATCGTATCTTTCTCAAGATGTCCAAGATCATTCTTTTCAATATTCATATAAATCTCATTTCACAAAATAAGCATTTTCTCTTATGTATGCTATTATGAAATTCTGCTACTTCTTACGCTACGTTTTATTTTCATTTTAAATACTATTTTCCTCGAACTTTATTCTCTCAACTTGAGAAAAAAAAAAAAAAAAAGGAAATTGATCTTTCTAATTTATTATATACTATAACGCTATTTCTATTTTTCGAATTATCATATATACTGATGTTTGTAGTATAGTATATTACGTATTATATCACTGTATATTAAAAGTAAATCCTCGTGGAAACGAAAGGTGCCTCACAAAGAAACTGTGTGTTGACGTCACACTTCGCAGCTGCAACTATTGTCACTACTGTACTATAACTATGTGTACTACTATCGTTGCGCCGCGCGCACAAGCTTCCAACCAAGTGTCTTTTTCCTCTGGCGAGCAAACGATCAAGTGTTTTTTTATTATCTCTATCTTCTTCTCTCTTTTATATGTATATATATATATTTGTATCTCACCCTGGCTTCGAAAGTGATAAAAAAAAAAAAAAAAAAAAATTGAGAAACGGAGATAATTTTTAATTTTTATAATCTCGAAATATTTCATAGAAATTCTTTGTTTTTTTTTAAATCGTTTCACTTTTGTAGAAAGGGTGTAATATATCTATATACAATATTGTTACGATATTTCTTCTTTTAAATGTTTTTTTTTTATTTCTTCATTTTTTTTAATTTATTTTTTTTATTTTTTATTTTTATTTTTATTTTTTTTTTTTTAACCCCTCGTGAAATCACCTGTATCGAGGAACAGTTAGAACCGCGAGGGATTCATATTGACGAGAAGGTCCCGCTCTTTTCTCTGCTTCTCTAAGTCTCTCTGTCTCTCTCTCTGTTCTCTCCTGTTCTCTCCTCTCTCGATCGCGGCCGCAGGAAATTTTATTGGAAGAAATTCCAGCCCTTTCGCTGACTTTGATTTATGGTTTTTTTTTTCTTTTTTTTAATACAAACTGTGGTCCCTATTTTTGAACAATTTTTCTCTTTTTTTATTTTTGGAAATTATCGTTTTATTTGTCGTGGAAATTTAAATAAATAATTATTTTTAACTTTATTTTCTTTTGGAATCGAAGAAAAGAATTGTTTTTTTTTGTACAACAAAGTTTGAGCATTTTTTTTTAGATAAGAATTATAATATCTTTGAATCGATAAAATTCGAATTTAGATTAAAATAAAAATCGATTTTAAGTAAAAGAACGAATTTATTAAGATTTGGATTAAAATATTATGCATTGCAATAAAAATCAATTTTCGAAACAATTAGAATAACAATAAAATCGTAAAAATTAGGCAAAAATTAAATTCAACAAAAATTCATTTTAAATAATTTTTTAAAAAATTCAAAAACGAAGCTTCTTTTTCCAAATTTTTGTTATCTATTATTTTTTTTTTTTTAAGATACTCAAATTCATCATAGTGACACAGTTTTATCAATATTTTGTTACAAAGTCAGTAAATAGTCTGGAATATTCGTAAAGTCTGAAAACAAGGCCGTATAAATGAGGCCTGCGAAACTTGTGCGCGTGCCAACACTATACATTTGAATCCTATTATACTCGCTGACTACTGACTGGACTCTGTCTGTTCTCTGTGTAGATGGTCACGCCTGACGCTCTCTTTACCCTGTTTGGTACGTCTCCACATTTATATTATTAATTATATTACATTATTAATTATTATATTTACACGCGCGGGATACACTGACACACTAGTACACGCACAAATACACTACTCCACACTTCAGAGACATTTCTTAGACACATGTTTTTACATAGATCAGTAGAGTAACTGTGAGCATTTTTGGAGAGTGAAAAAAAAAAAAAAAAAAAAAAAAAAAAAAAAAGAAAAAAAAGATCGAATAATTTTTTTTACATTTTTTTATATTTCTGTTTTCAATTTTTATTACCAATTTTTATTATATATGATACATAACGAAAACACGAACAGAATATAATGTTAAAATCGATATGTATAGTAGTTTGTATCATCGATCGTTCGTCATGATTGTTCTATTAATTTTTGATTTTTCTTTTTTTTTTTTTTTTCTTTTCTTCTTCTTTTTGAAAGAATGTTTTTTGTGGAAGATTTATGAATCATTAATCACTCTCCTCGTCACGTGTACTTATGATTTTTATTTATTTTTTTTCTTTCCCCTTTATTTATTATCGTTTTATTTATTTTAAATTTTTATTTTTACTCATCTCTGTGAATTTCTTGTTTTTATTATTTATTTATTTTTATCGTCTCTTACGATTCTTAATTCTATGATTTTTTATTATTTTATATTTTTAATTACGCTATAACTGTTCTTATTCTCATTCATCGAATTCACCCCCATGCCCATAATCATTGTTCGATTCTTAATCATCGGCCGACACCGTTTTTTTCATGTTCTCTATTTCCAAGCATCTCTTCTAAATTGTTTCATTAATATTTTATTAATATCAGTTCCAGACACCTTAATATTACATAAGCTTTCGCTTATTTTATCGTAATATATCCATAGGAACTCACTTTTCGCGGGTCAAACGGTTCAGCCATTTTCTATTTTTTTCAAGAAACCCGCCTCGAAAAAATTTTATATGAATTACTGAGAAATATATCAAAAAAAAAAAAAAAAAAAAAAAAAAAAAAAAAAAAAAAAAAAAAAAAAAAAAACAAAACAATAATATTTTCTCTTGCAAACAATGAAATAAATTTTATCCAGTAGTAATAATAATAACAACCTATTAAAGAAAATTTAATTTAACGATTCATAAATCACTTTTATCCAATAAAATGTTATCGATAATAAAGTTCACATTTAAATTATATACGGTATTCGATCGAATATATAATTAATATATAATCGATTTTGATATTTCATGAAATTTAACGACATGTATACATGATTGATTGGCTGAACCGATTGCCTAATTTGCATGTCCCAGATCTTAGTCCGATCGTACCCCGATCTCGATCGATTATTATCACCGATTATTATCAATAATTATTATTATTGTTATTATTATTATTATTACTATTATTATTGTTGTTGTTATTATTGTTATTATTATTACTATTATTATTACTATTATTATTATTATTATTATTATTATTATTATTATTGTTATTATTATTGTCCTGTTTCTTCGACTCGATAATCTTTAGACGCCCGCGATTGTTAATGATGAGGGGCTGATTAAAATGATGTGTTGCGTGTTGTGCATGTAGGCGTTTACGGGGATGTACAGCGTGTGAAGATTCTCTACAACAAGAAGGACTCGGCACTGATTCAGATGGCCGAACCGCATCAGGCGCACTTAGGTAATTATCTTTTCCATAATTTGCATTTTTTTTTCTTGAAATAGAGTTTTTTTTTTTTTTTTATTTTCATCTTTATTGATGATCTGCGATATTTCGTGAATCAATGATCGAAGAAAGAAGAAGAAATTTTATGAAAAGATTGTCAAACTTTTTCAATGAAAATTATTTTTTCTTTTGTGTAAAAGTTTTAAAAAAATCTTTTTTATTAAAATATCGATATTTTGATCGATATCAACGATTCAATGATTATTTATATATTATAAAGAATTAGGAAAATTTGTTATCCAATCGTTAAGAAAATGTTTCGATAATTTTAAATTTTAAATCCTAGCACTGACGCACATGGACAAATTGCGAGTATTTGGCAAGCAGATCAAGGTAATGCTCAGCAAGCACCAGACGGTTCAGTTACCGAAGGAGGGCCAACCAGACGCTGGATTGACGAAAGATTACACCAATAGTCCTCTTCATCGGTTCAAGAAACCAGGCTCGAAGAATTATCAGAACATTTATCCACCAAGTTCCACTCTGCATTTATCAAATATTCCGTAAGCAAAAATCTATCTCTAAATATTAATATATAATAATATATTAATATTATTTTTAAATCTATCTTTAATTTTCATGATAATTGTATATAGTAAATAAAGATTATTTACTACAAAAATAATAATTGAAGTATTTTATAATTAATACCTGAGGTATTGAAATATTTTTCGTGTTTTCAGAACAACTGTGACCGAAGAGGAGATCAGGGATGCATTCACCAAAAATGGCTTCACCGTGAAGGCATTCAAGTTCTTCCCGAAAGACAGAAAGATGGCGCTTATACAGATGCCAAGCATGGACGATGCTGTAGCTGCTTTGATCGTAAGTGTCCTCTTTGATTTAATTTTTTTTATTATATTATTATTATTATTTTTTTTTTTTTAATACACTTGATCTTTCTAATTTTAAAATTTCCAACGATTGTTATTATATATATATATTGATATAATAATAATCTAAATTCGAAATTACATAAAAGTTCGATCGATTTAATGCTTCATTCGAATTATATTTGTAATTCTCGTTTTGTTTCGTGCTGAACCAGCGTTGACGAGGCTAAGGTGAATTTATAACGCGTTTATTATTTACCATGTGAAAATTCATCAGAGAGACGTAATTAGTTTAGTCATTGGCGCCTGGCATTGTTTGCCTTTGATACAATTGAGCGGAATTATAAATAACAAATCTGCATTACGCCTGCTCGAAATTAAATCGTTTTACTCGTCATAAAATAATCATTGTTCATCATTTTCCACGATTCATCCGTGCCTGTTTCTAGTTTTGTTCCAACCAAGATAATTAATCTTTTGTACATTAAATATGAATATTATCGTGTGGGGTTATTGAATATCTTTTCATTGTGCAATGAAATCAAAAACATATTGTAAAGGTAATGAATTATTTTATTAGTATTGTCACTCGCATGGAAATATAAATATGGATGGCTCAACGAAAATGATAAAAATATTTTGAATATTGTAATTAAAAAAATTGATGCTGAAATATATATAAATATGTGATTCTGATACATGGAATACTGTATCAGAATATTGTAAATAATGTTAAAAAAATATATTTTTTTTTATAATAAAACAGGATAATATTATTTTCTGCGTAACAAATTGTATATTTTTAGAAGAATTAAAATTGAATGCAGAAATAAAATTCAAATATAACATTTATTATTGAATTTAATAATATAATTTATTTAAAAAAATATATATTCTTTTTCGCGTCATAATTCACACATGTGATCATTCGATCTTCAATTTATCCGTGAAACAACTCAATAGATTAATTTATTCGTAAATTTAATTTACAAGAAAAGATAAATAAAATATATTTTCCATTAAAATTTAAGAAATTAGTAAAATTAAAAAATGCATTAGATTAATAGTCTTCAAGGGTTCATCCTTATTCAAAATCACTTCTTTACTCGATCTTTCTTCTTTACAGCACTAACAAAAATTGTTCGTCTATTGCAGAAAATGCACAATTACCAGTTAAGCGAGTCCAATCACCTCAGAGTGTCATTCTCGAAGAGCAACATCTAACAAGAATCACAATTAAGCAACCTGCAGAAACCGCGATCAATGAGAAGGGGACCCAAGGTGATCCAAAATTTTAAGTGAAACTCCCAATGTTAAAAGCGTTGAAAAAACCTGTTAAAAACCAAAAACCTGTGCGGACCAAGGAAATTCGGGGTCTGGTTCGAGCCACGCAGTAGACAAGGCTTAGTGTCTACAGAGGTTATTAGGAGTAAATAATTAAACAAGGGACACGATGCTACGTATTGCTCGGAAGAAGGCCTTTGAAATGGAATGCGGGTTTCATTGGTTATCTTCTCATAGACCAAATACAATCATAAAAATAGGGATACGTATTGGGCCAAAAAAGTCTGACACCTTACTTCTACTTACAAATAAGATCTTATAGCATTGCGTTTATAGGGGCGAGGAAAGGCAAACAAACAAAAGGGCACTTCCTTTTATCACCAAAAGACTTTTTCCCGGCAACACGTGGTATCTGTACTTTCACATAATTGCAAACACCCACGCAAACACGGACAAACCATCGCACACTATGTTATACACCCTGCATTACATCTTCAGACATCCTCAAACACAGTGAAACACACTCAAGCAAAACTTCAATATAATACATAATATATATATTTGATATATCGCAATGTAACAGGTGTGTCCAAAAGTGCGCAGCGGCTACATCCCAATAATCTATATTTTATTAATAACTGATAAGGACTTAGGATTATCGACGTTAACGGTTTATGGTAATCGAGAGCTAGCAGAGAGAGAAAAAAAAAAAAAATTAATCTATTACGAATCTAACGTCGTGACACACGCGGTACATATACATATATATATATATATAAATATTATATAAATTAGAGACACGATGATCTGAGCACGACGAACCGAAAGAACGAAAGAGAAAGAGAGATAGAGAACTCGTGAACACGAGAGAGACAGAGTGAATGCGAAGCGAGCGAATGAACACAATCCAGGGAATATCCGAGAGATAAGTATGATGATAATATGTATGTGTGTAATCCTCCTGTTGAAAGTTCAGGATAACGTAGTACGGTGGTTTGTATGCCTAATCGGGGCCTTAGGCGTCGTTCACACCAGAATTCAAGGGAACCAGCTGTTTGTTCGATTATTCTTCGCCCATAAAAAAAAAAAAAAAAAAAAAAAAGGAGAGAATGATAGGGGAAGAAAGGGACGATATTTCACGCTATTCGAGCAAGCTTTTCTCCACGATGGCTGTTTACACGAATTAAATAAATGAAATGATGAAAAGAGGATCACTATAACCAATTTAGCAAGAAGAAATAGAGAATCGTTGAAGAGACGTTGGACCGATTCGAAAGTATGTTTATATCTCGAGTGATCTTCTTCTGCATCTCTTCTCCTCTTCTATGATTTTTAAAAAAAAAATTTCTCTGTCGACAACATATCATTGTGCTTTTCCTTCGAAAAGACACACATCGTGCTTTGGGCATCGATCCAACGTTTTCTCTTTTTTTTTTTTTTCTTTTTTTTTTTTTTTTTCTCTCTCGTTTTCCAAGAGGTATAGTGATGCCTCGAATTAGATTTCGATCAGGATAGCGATTTGGTGTGCCTGTTGAGTGATTCTGTAATCTTCTTGCCTGCTTTTCTCTTCCACGGTCGCTGTAATTGACGTTAAAAAAAGGCTCGTCAGGGAAGAAACGTGATAGAATATCGGTTTTCCGGACAAAAATATCGGTTAACCGGGCTTCTATCTATCCGGTTATATCGTTAATTGATCGTTACGATACGTAACGTCGAATAATAATAATTGCCAAAACGCGACGAAAAAGAAAAAGAAAGATAAAAATAGAAAAACAAAAAAAAAAGAGAGAGAGAAGAATATTAAAGAGCGCATGAAAGTAGCACACAGCTGTAGGGAAGAGAAAGCGGAAAACTGAGCCTAATTAATTAAAACGCGAAGAGTTTCTCGACGACCCCATCGAATTTCGAAAAAAAGAAAAAAAAAAAAAGAATAGAAAAAAAAAACGAAAAAAAAAAAAAAAGAAAATAGAGAGAAAGTAACGATCTCGATGATCCTTGCTTTGGGAGAGGAGCGTTCAGTCGCGAGACACAGAGCATTAAAGAATTATCTAAGGTTAGCTGTTAAGTGGACGAAACAAAAAAAGAAAAAGATTTAAAAAGAATAAAAAACAAAGCGTGACACAACATACGACACAGACATGACAAAATACAAGGAAACAAACGCATACATGCAAAAAAAAAACATTTACATTTAAACGTTCACAGTGTACACACGACTTAGCGTGTTAGACTCGTGTAGTAGTCCCCTTATCCCCTACCCCCCTTTCTAATTAAGCCTCCAGATCTTAACGAGTACTATAATGTATAGTTGAACTCGACAATCACTCGACTCTCTGTATTGATAATTCTCGAGGGGAGGAAACAAAAGAAGATAAGGAGTAAAAAAGAAAAAAGAAGGAAAGATAGAAAGGAAAAGCAAGAGTGGAAAGGAAAAATGAAAGAATAAAAAAAAAAGAAAAAAAAAAAAAAAAAAAAANAAAAAAAAAAAAAAAAAAAAAGGGTATCCCTGAGCCGTTGGAAAATGCTGCTACTATTCTTGAGAAAATTGTTATTTCAAGTATCTGCTGGGATTTTTTCGAGTTCACTATCTATTTCTACTTCTTTTTTCCTTCTTCGAGCATTCTTCTCGCCTTTCTCAACGTCACTTTATAGGAAAGTGGGAATTCTCTTTCGTTGCGCCACTTTTTTACGTTCCTTTCTGTGAGAGTTTCTCTTTTGAATTTGACCCTTTTTTCCTTATTTTGTTAGAAGTTCTTCCAATCTTTCTACAATTGTCAATTGAGAATGGAAAATAGTATTGTACGATCAGACCTTAAGTCAATAAAAAGAAGAATTTTTCTGAATGGAAATGAGCGAATGTAACGAAATGTTAAGCTAATAATAGAATGCGTTTTATATATATATATATATATTAAAAAAAAAAAGAAAGAAAGAAAAAAAAAGAAAAAAAAAAGAACAAAAAGCGTGAAATCTGAGACGTATGAATAATATTCTCTTCACGTATAAAAGTTTCAAAATGAATGAATAGAAAATGAAGATAATAGATAGATCGTGTAAAAGATTTTTTCATGGAAGATATAATCTTTATACCATAGTACCACGAATTTCTGTTTTTTTCAAGAAAGGTGACAAACGAGCTAAGATTAATTACTTTCTAAAGGAAATAAAGAAAATAAGGATCGTTACGATGAAATCAAAAATATACAAATGATATATTAAAAATGAAGAAATTAAATTCTAATTCGATCGGAAGAACTTCTAATCCTTTCTTAGTGAGAAGAGAAAAGTAAATTTAATGATGAGAAAGAAATATATCGAGTAAAATCGATTAAAAAACTTTTCGTTTCGGAACAGATTGTTAGAATTGTTATCAAAAGTATCACGAGAGAGACGATCAAGGGAATCGGAATCGTGGGCCAGGAATTGCGTTGCAAGTCACAATCAGCTCGCGAGACAAATCAATTTTTGCTTTTTTGTACACGGAGATATACACGTAGTAAGATACCGCGATGGATCATTCGCGATTTGTCCGAGCGAGCGCTTTAAAGGTTAAGCTGTTTCATAGTAAGTTTGTCGTTAGGGGAAATCGGTTGTGTCACCCAGAAGACCCGGGATGATTAGTGATCGATGTCCACTGGACGAGGCAGAGGCAAACCAGAGACTCGTTTTCTCGTCGATCGATCGTCGTCGAATCGAATGTGTCGCTTTTTTTTTTTTTTTTTTTTTTTTGTAAAAATCGATTTTTTTTTATTCCTTTTTAACTCCTCTTATCTCTAACTTTTTATTCGACGTATTATTATTCGAACCTCCTAAGAATTGATCCAACTCTTGTGTCCGTAAACACCACAGAAGTAGATTTTTTTAACGGTCACGGAATATCTGTCTTTTTTAGACGTCCGTTTTTTTCTGGAAACTGCAAACGAACTTTGAAAACAATGGATCGTTTTTCGAGATTTGAAAGATTGAAATTTTTCGATGATCGATCAGGTATGGAAATGGAAGTTTGAGTAATTAATTACAGTGCTGGTTACAGAAAGACCCGTTCCAGATATTATTTTACAAAGAATATGATTTTTAAACTGAAAATAAAAATTTAGCTTTTTAATCGGGTTAATAATTTTTTTGTTTTGTTTTATCAATTTTATTTGACTCGGTGGAAAAATTGAAAAAAATTGAAATTTTATTTTTGTTATATTCGGTAAAATGTTTTTAAATATAGATTTTCATGAAGAGAAACAACGTTTTAGTCTTTCATTCTCTTTCATCGTGTTAAAGAAGTAATGAAAAAAAATAATTGTATTACGCTACAAATTTCTGTATCTCCCATTCGAAATTTTCGAAAAGATCTGGAAGGGTCTCGAAACTCAAGAAAATTCACTTTCCATCTCGAGTCGAATAAATTCCCAAACGCGTAAACTATTTAAAAAAAAAAAAAAAAAAAAAAAGAGGAAAAGTAATATAAATCCAAATTTATATTTAACGAGATTGAACAACTCACGACAATCATTTTATATTTAAAACTTAGACTTTCAGAGCCTTAGAAAACTTTCAGAGGAAACTTCAAGGAACGAGTTATCCAGCATTAATAGCCAATAAAAACTTTAATAAAAACTTAGAATCCTTAGGAAACTGTTAAAATCCAAACAAAAAAAAAAAAAAAAAAAAAAAAAAGACGAAGCAAGAAGAAGATAAAATATCGAACCAATATAATAGAGTAAAATTAAAAAAAAAAAAAAAAAAAAAAAGAAGAAGAAAGAAACTATACGAACTACATATAATTAGTTTAGAACACAATTAGTTCGACGACGATCGATAATCTCCGCGAAGCATTTAAGTACCTATACACTTTTGCGCTCGCACCTTCACGTTTCTTCGCATTTAAATACACGATACACAAGTATACATATAGGTATATATACATTACACACTTGACCATCTACAGAAACGCACACACCCATATCATCACGATCGAATTTATAGAATAAATCGACACGGTGTATGGGACACGTTTTACGATCGCTCTTCCACGTGTCTTCTTTCGACACGACACGATTTATTATTATTATTATTATACACGATTTACTATTTACGATTTTTATACCTCGATTACCGAACGGAGCCACCCCCGCACACGTACAGACACGAACACTACAACGCCCCATACGAAAGTATTTTTTGAATCGCGCGCGATTTACGCGACCCGGAAGTGGAGGAACGACTTTTCTTTCGAACGCTCTCTCCCTTGCCGCTTGCCGAATTTTTTTTATAGAGGGGGGAGGAAAAAAAGAAGGGAGAAGAGATAGGAAATGAAGAAATTCTGGGAAAAAGATTGTATTCGCGAGTGGAGGTTGAACAATTTAGGGAGCAAAGAGAGAAAGAGAGAGGGAGAAAGAGAGAGAGAGAGAGAGAAAAGAATATTATGATATAGAAATTTGTGGGAAAAATGTAAAATTATGGTTTTTTTGAAGGTATAAAGAAGGAAAAGTGAGAAATGGCGGCAGAAACCACTTCCGGGTCACATTTTTCGACGTCTTTCACGCGTCCAACGACGCGAATATTTCCCACCATTTATCTGAAGGTGCATATTGTCGCGTAGGTTTCTTGACTTCCGGTATTATCCATGCGTTGCGTTCAAACGTCGCTTCTGAACATATATATACATATATATATATTTTTATTTTTCATTTCTTAATCACGTTCATTTCTTTTCTTTTCTTTTTTTTTCTTTTTTTTTTTTTTAAGGTAATTAATCTATTTAGCCTATTTTTTTAATCGTCCGACACGTATACACTACCATACGACTTGTCGTTGCTACTACTTATTAATTAATCCTCACCCCTCTCTTTAATCGTTTACGTATTCGTTTTTATTATGATTATAATTATTATTACTATTAATATCACTATCTATCTATCTATCTATCTACGATTATTATTATTATTGATAATTCTAGCGCTAATTACTCATTTAATTACTTTTTAACATTGTCATTAATTATTCCCTAGTTCGTATCCTCTATACTACTATTTACTATATACTACCTACTATTTACTATTTACTACTATTACTTATGCCACTATATAATTTTTTTTTTTTTGTTTTTTTTCTTCCTCTTTTTTTTTACTTTAATATTTTTAATTCTCTAACTATTAGACTGTATCGGTTAAATGCGACGCACGAGCTTAGTTTTTTTTACTGAGCGAATAAGAATGAGAAAGAATACGAAATGTAGAAGTGTATTAGCTACAAGCGAAAAAGAGAAAAAAAAAAAATAAAATAAAATAAAGAAATGATAAGGAATACACACACATATACACGTAACATATAAACGAATACACGAATCTGTGTACACACGGACACGTGAAACGATTTTTTTTTCTTGTAAGATCGAGCGTTCTCGATTGGTTCAGTTCTTCTTAAACAAAATGAAAAAAAAAAAAAAAAAGAAAATGAAAAAAAAAAAAAGGTCTCGAAGAAAAGGTCTCGAATATTCTTTAGTTGTTAGGCTCACCAATCACACTTCATCTTTCCTTTTTCTCGATTTCTTTCGGCGCTACGATTTCTCCCCTTCCCCCTTTTTTTTTGATTTTCTATTTCCAACATCTCACATCCTCTCACCGTTTCGAATTTCTCTTCTCTATTCTAATTCTATATTCTATTTCTAATTTTATTATTATAATTATCGTTATTATTCGCTATACTTATTGTATTATCTTATATTGCTTATAACTTCTCTTATAGTCACGCTATTCTCACTTTCTCTGTCTTTCTCATTTTTCTCTCTCCACTCTCTCTCTCTCTCTCTCTCTCTTTCTCTCTGTCTCTCTCTCTCTTTCTCTTTCTCTTTCTCTTTCTCTCATACTCTCTTGCTATCTTAATATACGTGCATCGTATATTTCTTACTCTTATCACTATTACTTTTATTATATCGTCTTTACTATTACGATTATAGTAATATTATTGCGGCTGTATGACTATTCTTATGACTATGACTTATATTATACTATCTATCACTACATCTACTATAACTACTACTACTCACTGTAACTATTACTATTACTATCTATTGCTATTACTATTACTATCTATTACTATTATATATTGCACCTATCACTTATAACTATTACTATTACTATAACTATTACTATATCTATCACTATTGCTATTAACACTACATACTATCATCTACGACTATTATTATAACTATCACTACTTCTATCTATTACTATTACCATTTATCATTACTACTATGATAAAACTAATACTACTATAATTTCATACTTATATTATCTCTATTGCTACTATTACTATCATTACATCTATCATCTATAACTATTATTATTATTATATTTATTATTAATTATTACTGTAATTGCCACTACATATTATTATTACTATTGCTGTATCTATCGTCTATGATTACTGTTACTATTATCTATCACTATTGCTACTACTACATCTATCACTATAACTATTGCTATTATTACTACTACAACTATATCTTATACTTTATCTATCTATCTATTGTTACTACTATTAGTAGCGCTTTATTATCTTCGTATGTGGTAACCACCCCTAATATTTTCGTCGAAAAAATTTACTTCAAGTACGCAAATTAAATATTCTCGTATCAATGTCAAATTCAACGTTCTCGAAGTTGTCTTAATTTTTTACGTAATGAATAAAAAAAAAGAATTTTACGAAAAATTTACGTCACTTCGAGAACGTGATTCCCCACTACAAATATTGGAAAATTCGAAAAAGTTCTTTGAATTAATTTTCGTATAAAAATTAAAAGTTTAATCGAAATCAATTAGAAAATGTTTGCCAAATAATAGTTTGACAAAATAATTTCTTCAATCAGAAGAAAAAAATAATTTTTTCAAAGAAGTCAATTTTTCATGGAAAACCCTTTGCCATCCCCAAGTTCAATTCTTTCCCATCAGTGGCCTCGAACGAGTATTACTTTCGAATAATACTTATCTGTAAACCCCTAGGAACATTTATATCGAAATATAGAGAGCGATAATTGAATGGAGGGAGGCAAAGGGTCGAGAATGGTCGACCGAGCGAAGGGGTGGTTTTCTCGCAACTGATTCGGTGTTCCCTTGCCTGTTCGTTTCCCCCCCCCCCCCTGTCACTGCTACAATCATCGATTGTAAGGAACCACCGTTTTTTTTTCTCTCTTTTTTCTCTCACTTCCTGTTTCCCTCTCGATGATATATATACAGCGTGTGACTGTATACACGTACATTACATATCTTTAATTTTTAATTTTTGATTCTCGATACCGTTCTTCGTCAGTGATTAAGCAAGTTTCAGTTTCGACACTTTTTTTCCACTTTTTTCCATTCACCCCCCCCCCGCCCCCTATCCCATCATTCTAATCGTGATTTTCTCGTCTTGAAAAATGAAACGAGAACCCAGTAATCGAGTGAAGGAAGGGAAGTAAAGTCTCTATATATGATAAAGAATATAAAAGGAAAAAAAAAAAAAAAGAGAGAGAGAAATACAAAGAAGAATTAAACGCGATAAAGATATATATATATATATGCACGATGAGGAAATATGATTTACTAGCGAGCGGGTAATTTACGTATACAAAATATAGCCGATTTGTCAAGAGAAAGAAAAAAAAAAAAAAAAAAAAGCAACAATGAATGAAAAGATAAATAAACCTGTCCGTTTTTTGTGTTCTTTCTGTGTATCCAGCTACTACCTTCTCCTTTTTTTTCTATACTCGAACTATTTTTTAACTTTTACTCGAAGCGTGAGGGGCTTCTCTAAATTTCGTCTCTCTTTTCTTATTGTTATCATTTATCATTTTGATGATTTGAAGAATAAAAAAAATCGTCGCATGTCGATTATTCGGTAAAAAACAAACCCCACAATTTTTAATAAAGGTGTTTATTTCTTTTGCAGTAAAAAGAAATTTTTACTTCAAATATTTAACTTGAATAGGCGTTTTTTAAAGAAGCTTCTCACACGTTCGATCACTTTTCACTTCACTAATTGTCCATGCTAATTCTACTTCAATTTTTTTTAATTTTTTTTTTTTTTTTTTTTTTTTTTTTTTTTTTTTTTTTTTTTTTTTTTTTTTTTTTTTTAGATCGAACGTCACGAACGATCAATCATTCGCGACGTTCCATATTCGCATTTCCGGAATATTTTTAACGGAATGAACGAAGAAAGATGGGATCGAAACAACGGAATTTTTTTCTCTTGCAATTTAAATATTTATTTTATTTATTCGTCTCTCATTCAATGTTTTCTCTCTAACAATATCGTCTTTCTTCTAAAACCTTGACGACACGCTGTTCTATCTCTGTCTTTTCTATCTATCTTCAAGATCAGAGTTGGGCAATCTTATTTTTATTATCGGCAATTAGATAGTGAAAAAGTGGAATTGTATTGCATTATGTTGTTCGTGTTGCTAAAAAGGAATGTTAATAGATTTGTTAGAAGTTAAGTGAATTTATATGAATAGACATTAGTTTAATTTAAAATTGAAAAAAAAAAAAAAGAGATATAATTAATCGGTAATTGTAAATGTTAAGATAATGATTCGTGATCGTAGATCTTGTTCCAATTTTTATTATTATTTAAGGGTATGAATAATTTGAATAATTATCTTGAGCATTTAATGCGTCAATGTAATTAAGTAATAATAATAATAATAGATAAGTT